CAAATGAGTTGAATGAACATAATAAGTCATTTCTATTATAGAAAATATCAAAATTAATTTGAACCAAATTACACTATTTCAATTTTAACCATTAAATAAAATAAAATGAATTATGTACATATAAGTTCAGCGTGTTATGTGGGTTAATGTTTAAATATAAACAAAATGATATTATAATTTATAAAAATTATAATTTAATAATTTATTGAAATATTGTAATGTAACTGAATTAGAGAAATAATGAGACTATTGTGAATGATTTAACAAAATTTATCTGATGGAATATTGTATTGTAACTGAGTTAAAGAAAGAATGAAATTAACTACAAAACTAACGACAATGACATTATTGAGGGGAGAAAACTTAGTCTTCTATGCTTTCTGTTTTTGTGCACTAAAACAAGAGATTTTTTATGAGTTCACAAGTCGTTGTCATGTCTCTTTAATTTTTGGAACTAACCAATTAAATTTATATTAGCACTAAACTTAATGAACTAATCAGTTATTTATTATTTTTTAATATAAACATTAATAGTGATATAACTTTGCATAATAAAGATAATCATTGCTCTAACCCAAAATGCAAGAAAACAAATTATTTCAAAACTCTCATCAGATATGTAACAATGACATTTTTATGGTTAGATTATTAAGAATTTGATCAATATATGTTTATTGGACAAAATAATTATTTGTAATTAATTAAATTTAATATTTAATAATATGATAGAATGGGTTATTAATATTATAGATATTTTATGATTATAGTTTTTACATGTCATTTTAACAAATATGGAAAATATTTTATCAAGTATCAAATGAGTTGAATGAACATAATAAGTCATTTCTATTATATAAAATATAAAAATTAATTTGAACCCATTTACACTATTTCAATTTTAATCATAAAATAAAATAAAATGAATTATGTACATATAAGTTTAGCGTGTTATGTGGGTTAATGTTTAAATGTAAACAAAATAATATTTTAAGTTTTTAAAATATTAAATTTTAAAAATTATAGTTTAATAATTTATTGAAATATTGTAATGTAACTGGATTAGGGAAAGAATGAGACTAATGTGAATGATTTAACACAATTTATCTGATGGAATATTGTATTGTAACTGAATTATAGAAAGAATGAAACTAACTACAAAACTAATGACAGTGACATTGTTGAGTGGAGAAAACTTAGTCTTCTGTGCTTTCTCTTTTTGTGCACTAAAAGAAGAGATCTTTTATGAGTTCACAAGTCGTTGTCATGTCTCTTTAATTTTTGGAACTAACCAATTAAATTTATATTAGCACTAAAATTAATGAACTAATTAGTTATTTATTATTTTTTAATATAAAAATTAATAGTGATATAACTTTACATAATAAAGATAATCATTGCTCTAACCCAAAGTGCAAGAAAACAAATTATTTCAAAACTCTCATCAGATATGTAACAATGACATTTTATGGTTAAATTATTAAGGATTTGATCAACATATGTTTACTAGACAAAATAATCATTTAGAATTAATCAATATTAATATTTAATAATAGGATATAATGCGTTATTAATATTATAGACATTTTATGATTATAGTTTTTACAGGTCACTTTAACAAATATGGAAAATATTTTATCAAGTATCAAATGAGTTGAATGAACATAATAAGTCATTTCTATTATAGAAAATATCAAAATTAATTTGAACCAAATTACACTATTTCAATTTTAACCATTAAATAAAATAAAATGAATTATGTACATATAAGTTTAGCGTGTTATGTGGGTTAGTGTTTAAATGTAAACAAAATGATATTATAATTTATAAAAATTATAATTTAATAATTTATTGAAATATTGTAATGTAATTGAATTAGAGAAAAAAGAGACTAATGTGAATGATTTAACACAATTTATCTGATGGAATATTGTATTGTAACTGTACTAAAGAAAGAATGATACTAACTACAAAACTAACGATAATGACATTGTTGAGGGAAGAAAAATTAGTCTTATGTGCTTTCTCTTTTTGTGCACTAAAACAAGAGATCGTTTATGAGTTCACAAGTCGTTGTCATGTCTCTTTAATTTTTGGAACTAACCAATTAAATTTATATTGGCACTAAAATTAATGAACTAATCAGCTATTTATTATTTTTAATATAAACATTAATAGTGATATAACTTTGCATAATAAAGATAATCATTGCTCTAACCCAAAGTGCAAGAAACAAATTCTTTCAAAACTCTCATCAAATATGTAACAATGACATTTTTATGGTTAGATTATTGAGAATTTGATCAATATATGTTTATTGGAAAAAATAATTATTTAGAATTAATTAATATTAATATTTAATAGTATGATAGAATGGGTTATTAATATTATAGATATTTTATGATTATAGTTTTTACAGGTCATTTTAACAAATACGGAAAATATTTTATCAAGTATCAAATGAGTTGAATGAACATAATAAGTCATTTATATTATATAAAATATCAAAATTAATTTGAACCCATTTACACTATTTCAATTTTAATCATTAAATAAAATAAAATGAATTATGTACATATAAGTTTAGCGTGTTATGTGGGTTAATGTTTAAATGTAAACAAAATTATATTTTAAGTTTTTCAAATATAAAATTTTACAAATTATAATTTAATAATTTATTGAAATATTGTAATGTAACTGAATTAGAGAAAGAATGAGACTAATGTGAATGATTTAACACAATTTATCTGATGGAATATTGCATTGTAAGTGAATTATAGAAATAATGAAACTAACTACAAAACTAATGACAGTGACATTGTTGAGGGGAGAAAACTTAGTCTTATGTGCTTTCTCTTTTTGTGCACTAAAACAAGAGATCTTTTATGAGTTCACAAGTCGTTGTCATGTCTCTTTAATTTTTAGAACTAACCAATTAAATTTATATTAGCACTAGAATTAATGAACTAATCAGTTATTTATTATTTTTTAATATAAACATTAATAGTGATATAACTTTGCATAATAAAGATAATCATTGCTCTAACCCAAAGTGCAAGAAAAAAAAATCTTTCAAAACTCTCATCAGATATGTAACAATGACATTTTATGGTTAAATTATTAAAAATTTAATCAACATATGTTTACTGGACAAAATAATTATTTAGAATTAATCAATATTAATATTTAATAATTGGATAGAATGCGTTATTAATATTATAGACATTTTATGATTATAGTTTTCACAGGTCATTTTAACAAATATGGAAAATATTTTATCAAGTATCAAATGAGTTGAATGAACATAATAAGTCATTTCTATTATAGAAAATATCACAAATAATTTGAACCAAATTACACTATTTCAATTTTAACCATTAAATAAAATAAAATTAATTATGTACATATAAGTTTAGCGTGTTATGTGGGTTAATGTTTAAATATAAACAAAATGATATTATAATTTATAAAAATTATAATTTAATAATTTATTGAAATATTGTAATGTAATTGAATTAGTGAAAGAATGAGACTAATGTGAATGATTTAACACAATTTATCTGATGGAATATTGTATTGTAACTGAACTAAAGAAAGAATTAAATTAACTACAAAACTAACGACAATGACATTGTTGAGGGAAGAAAAATTAGTCTTATGTGCTTTCTCTTTTTGTGCACTAAAACAAGAGATCTTTTATGAGTTCACAAGTCGTTATCATGTCTCTTTAATTTTTGGAACTAACCAATTAAATTTATATTAACACTAAAATTAATGAACTAATGAATTATTTATTATTTATTAATATAAACATTAATAGTGATATAACTTTGCATAATAAAGATAATCATTGCTCTAACCCAAAGTGCAAGAAAAAAATTATTTCAAAACTCTCATCAGATATGCAACATTGACATTTTTATGGTTAGATTATTAATAATTTGATCAATATATGTTTATTGGCCAAAATAATTATTTAGAATTAATTAATATTAATATTTAATAATATGATAGAATGGGTCATTAATATTATAGATATTTTATGATTATAGTTTTTACAGGTCATTTAAACAAATATGGAAAATATTTTATTAAGTATCAAATGAGTTGAATGAACATAATAAGTCATTTCTATTATATAAAATATCAAAATTAATTTGAACCAAATTACAGTATTTCAATTTTAATCATTAAATAAAATAAAATGAATTATGTACATATAATTTTAGCGTGTTATGTGGGTTAATGTTTAAATATAAACAAAATAATATTTTAAATTTTTAAAAAATTATAATTTAATAATTTATTGAAATATTGTAATGTAACTGAATTAGTGAAAGAATGAGACTAATGTGAATGATTTAACACAAT